AAGAGCTGATTGCCCGTTAATGCTTGCAATATTGCATGTCGACTGCCGATTGCATTGGGGAAAGAACTGAATGCATTGCAACATTACGGGTAACTAGTGTGTGCATGGGTGTTTGTATCTGTTTATGAATGGTTTGTTGATATATCTGAGTGTGTGTGTGTTTGTGTTTGTTTGTGTGTGTTTATGTGCGTGCGCATGTGTGTGTCTGAGAGAGAGAGAGAGAGAGAGAGAGAGAGAGAGAGGAGAGAGAGAGAGAGAGAGAGAGAGAGAGAGAGACAGACAGACAGACAGACAGACACACACACACACACACACACACACACACACACACACACACACACACACACACACACACACACACACACACACACACACACACACACACAGACACACAGACAGAGAGATGTGCATACATATATGTCAGTATATATCTATATATATACATACATACATGTGAGTGTGTGAGTGTGAGTATGAGTGAGTGAGTGAGTGTGTGTGTGTGTGTGTGTGTGTGTGTGTGTGTGTGTGTGTGTGTGTGTGTGTGTGTGTGTGTGTGTGTGTGTGTGTGTGTGTGTGTGTGTGTGTGTGTGTGTGTGTGTGTGTGTGTGCGTGTGTATGTGCATACATATATATACATACATATATATACATATATATATATATATATATATATACATATATATATATATATATATATATATATATATATATATATATATACATATATATATACATATATATATATATATATATATATATATATATATATATATATATATATATATATATATATATATATATATATATATATATCCCTCTGCATACATTTGTGTTTATTACTTGTTCAGATCTACAAAAGACAAAAAATGTATACAGAAAGAGGGTAAAAAACCCCAGGAACACTGTAAAGAAAATACGAATTGTTAAGAAAAAGGAAAAAAAAATAACATATTGTGAACAGCGAGTGTAAAGGTAATTTAGATAAAAGCAAAACACATTTCCTTGATAAGCCAAGCCAATGAAAAATTACTTAAGCCGCTTTTATTCCTCCTAAAAATAAAAGTCACTTACCCCCCCCACCCACCCCATCCCACCCCATCCCCACCCCCGCCTGCTATACTCTGCCACCCTCACACTAACTCTCTTTCTCTCTCTTCTTCTTTTTCCTATTCTATCCTCTTCCTATTCCTTCTTTCGGGGGAAAAAAGAATCAGAGCTCGATATATATAAAAGCATAAAAAAAAATAAAATAAAAAATAAAAAGAGAGATGAGGAAATCTTACAGAAAATATAACATACAAACCCGGCAAAGGGTTCTCATGCACGCAAAAAAGACTCGAGATTCACAAGAGGACTATTAGGAAAATTGGTGTGGTAGAGAGAGTCTCTCTCTCCCTCTCTCTCTCTCTCTCTCTCTCTCTCTCTCTCTCTCTCTCTCTCTCTCTCTCTCTCTCTCTCTCTCTCTCTCTCTCTCTCTCTCTCTCTCTCTCTCTCTTATCTCTTCTCTCTCTCTCTCTCTCTCTCTCTCTCTCTCTCTCTCTCTCTCTCTCTCTCTCTCTCTCTCTCTCTCTCTCTCTCTCTCTCTCTCTCTTCTGTCTCTCTCCCTCTCTCTCTCTCTCTCTCTCTCTCTCTCTCTCTCTCTCTCTCTCTCTCTCTCTCTCTCTCTCTCTCTCTCTCTCTCTCTCTCTCTCTCTCTCCTCTCTCTCTCTCTCTCTCTCTCTCTCTCTCTCTCTCTCTCTCTCTCTCTCTCTCTCTCTCTCTCTCTCTCTCTCTCTCTCTCTCTCTCTCTCTCTCTCTCTCTCTCTCTCTCTCTCTCTCTCTCTCTCTCTCTCTCCTCTCTCTCTCTCTCTCTCTCTCTCTCTCTCTCTCTCTCTCTCTCTCTCTCTCTCTCTCTCTCTCTCTCTCTCTCTCTCTCTCTCTCTCTCTCTCTCTCCTCTCTCTCCTCTCTGCTCTCTCTCTTTCTCTGTCTGTCTGTCTCTCTCTCTCTCTCTCTCTCTCTCTCTCTCTCTCTCTCTCTCTCTCTCTCTCTCTCTCTCTCTCTCTCTCTGTCCCCTTCTCTGTCTCTCTCCGTCCTCCCCTCTCTCTCTTACCCATTCCCCTCTTTCTCCATCCCCTTCCTCTGTCTCTATGTCCTGTACATAAGACTATCTCCATCCTCTCCTCCCCCCCCCCCTCCACGCCTTCGCTCCCCTCCAACCACTCTCCTCCCTTCCTCCACTCCTGCCTTCATTCCTCCTCCATCCCTCCTCCATCAACCTCTTCCACCTCCTCCTCCACCTCCTCCCCTCTCCTCCTTTCCTCCACCTCCTCCCTTCAACCCCCCCCCCCTCCTCCTCCATCCATCCTCCATCCCCTCCTCCCCTCCTCACTCCCTCCCCTCCCCTCCCCTCCCCTTTCAACACAACAGCTGCTTCTCTCTCTCTTGAAGGATATTGTGAAGCGACCACAGCCTCCCGGCGCCGCTAGAGGGCCATGGTAGACAGGCATGAGACGAAGAAGA